AAAAAAAAAAAAAAAAGTTAAAAAAAATCAAAAGCTTCTGATGCAGAGGCATGTTCTTGGCTGAGGGGGTGGTGATGGGGTGAGGCTGGGGGTGATGGCAGCTCCTAAACCCCCAAAACACAAAAATACACTGAAGAGTCTTGCTTAGGAGTTCCCAACACCCTTCCACCCAAGCATTTTGCATTATGTCATTTAAATTATTTTCTTCTTAGTATTGGGGATGGAGCCTGTGCCATTGCTCACTCCACCACCGAGTTTTACCCTCAGCTACCATTGGGGCTGTCTGTCTGTCTGTCTGTCTGTCTGTCTGTCGTTTTATGTATTTTTGAGACAGGCTCTCATTATGTAGTTCAGGTTAGTCTTGAATTATGTAGCCCTGGCTGGCCTCAAACTTTCAGTGATCCTCCTACCTCAGCCTCCCCAGTTCTGGGTTATAGGCATGTGCTTTCTTCGCCCTCATTTTTTTTTTTTGTGTGTGCAGAACCAGGGATTCAACTCAGGCCCTTGCGCTTTGCCAGGGAAGCGCTTATTCCACTGAGCCATCTCCCTGGCCCCTGCCCTCATTTTTTAAAAATTTCTTTTTTTTTTTTTCAGATCATCTCTTTATTGACGTATTTTCTTATGCTCCTTAGCTAGCTGTGCACTCGACAACACCACTGTTGATGTCATCTATGATGTCATTAGGGTGCCAGCTGTCCACATTGCAACCCACAGACTGGGCGGTCCCCAGGATCTCCTTAATGGTTCCAGAAAGTTCTCTGGCTAAATACCAGTGCCAAATCTGTTGGGCAATGTTGACAATCTCATAAAAAGTGTTACTTCCACTGTGTATAATGTTTTTCTGCTTCTATCTCTTGGCGGCTCCTTGAGGGCTTTGATAATTAGGGCAGAGGCAGAAGGCACCACCTCAATCTGAGCCTGTCTGTTCTTGGTCGGTTTCACTGTAATCTGCAGGCCCTTCCAGTCACCAGTTGCCTTGGCGATGTCATCTCCCACTTTTTTTTGGGAAAGACCCAACGGACTGATCTTGGAGCCAGGGCAGATGTGGTGCCGACTTCACCACTGGTGCACCTCAGGTACACGACTTTGATCTCATCGGGGTTGAACTTGGGTGGCATGCTGGAGGTGGCTGGTGTCGGATGAACCCAGATTCAGGATGACCGAAGAAAGTTGCACCTTAGCCTCCTCCTAGCTGAAACCCGAAAGCCAAAATTTCATTTTGTAATAGAGTGTTGCTAAGTTGATTGGGTTGGCCTTGAACGTGGGTTCCTCTTGGGTGAGTCTCCTAACAGGATCACATGCTTCCAGGCATGTATCATCACGCCCAGCTGAATTCTTTAAGTGGCTTCATTTCATCACTACTCATGGCTATGGTTTGTGTCTGGACTGCTCCCAAAGCTTCCTGATGTCACGGGGGAGGGCATTTTGAAGGTAGCCGAATCTGCAGTTTGTGATTGGTTCATTGTCTAGCACTGGGATTGACAGTGAGTGCTGCACCCTCCCAGGGGTGGGTGGCCTGCATACACTATAAAGCAGGGAAAGAGGCCTGTTTCCACCACTTTGTTCTTGCTGCTTTGACTGTTTTGTGGCCATGAACTGTTGTCCTGTGTCATGTGCCACCCTACCTTGGAGCCAGTGGACTACGGATTGAAATTTCTACAAACTGTGAGTTAAATAAACCTTTTGTTATGGTTTGTGTCTAGTTGTCCCCACAAAGCCTCATGCAGTCATGGGGTAGGACTTCTACAGTTTGAGATTAACTCATGATCCACTGGGAATATGGGTCTTAGTACTGCTGGGATTATGGGTGTGAGTGCTACACCCAGCGTGAGGTGGACAGCCTGAATGTAATATAAGAGAGACAGAGAGACAGACTTCTTCTCTGAAGCCATTGTTGCTGCTACTCCTCCATTTTGCTCTCTGCTCTTGGCTGCTGACATGAAAAGTTGCTCTCTGCCATGTGCCACTCTGCCTTGGAGCCAGCCGAGTACAGACTGAAACCTCCAGTAACTGTGAGCTAAATAAACCTTTCCTTCCTTCATTTTGGGTGTCAGGTATTTGTCCCAGCAACAAAAGAAGAGTAACTGAGATACTTTTCCTTTCTTAATTTTTGGCATTGGGTATTTTGTCTCAGCAATGAGAGAAAAATAACTAGGGCATTCATGTTGTAACTTTCTATGATTAGCTCAACTCACCAGAACTGCCCTATTCCAAGCTGTGAGGAGAATGCTACAAAGTATAGTAGAAAGTTTCTCAGTATCCTCAGGGACTGGCTCCAGGACTCACTCTTGCTTCAGATTTCAAAAGCCAAAGATGCTTAAGTCTCAGATAAAATGACATATGTTTGTGTAATCCATGCTTATCATTTAATTAATTAAATAATTGATAATACTGGGACTCAAACACAGGGCTGTTCTACTACTCAGCTACCACTTCAGTCCTTTTTATTTAGTTTTGTTTTTATTTTATTTTATTTTTTGGTGGAACCGGTGATTGAACTCAGGCCCTTGTGCTTGCCAGGCAAGCGCTTATTCTACTGAGCCATCTCCCTGGCCCAGTCCTTTTTATTTTGAGACAGGGTCTTACAGAGTTGCTGAGGTAGGACTCAAAATCATGATCCTGCCTCAATCTCCCTCATTGCTGGGGTTATAGGCGTAAACCACCTAGCTTAGCTCCCATATTTTTAAAATCATTTCTAACTTCTTTATCAGTTAAGTAGTCATTATTCTTTCTTGTCTACAGAGTAATGCAAGGAAAAAAGGCAAATGTATTATGTTTCACCCCTACTCATTCTCAGAGTGAATGCAGGCCCAAGCAGGGTAGGCTGTCCAGGACAGGCTCCAAAACCTCATCTCTTTTACAAGGGCACTGCAAGCAAGGCTGGGCACCTCCTCAAATGCCAACACCCAAAACAGCTCCCTAGCTCTCTGCTTTCTTCCCTAGAAGCAAGTATCTGTAAGTAATAAGACTGACAGAGATATTGTACAGTCCCAAGAGTCTGTTAAGCCTACCAACTGGCTACCTCACCTGAAGACCCAGACAGACCTTACTCTTACCATATCCTACCCTAAGTGAGTTCCAGGGACAAGCAATAGGAAGAGAGGGAGAGAGGGAGAGACAGACAGACAGACAGAGACACACAGAGAGACAGAAAGACAGACAGAGACAGAGAAAGAGAGACAGAGACAGAGAGAGAGAGACAGAGACAGAGAGAGAGAGGACTTGGGACTTGGGACATACCTGCCCTGAAATTCCTGCAACCAGCTACTTGTTGGACAGAGCTTAGGAATCACAGCTGTAAGACTGACCTCCTAGGATAGCTGCTATACACAGAGAATTTCTGAGAGGAAAATTTTGTTTAGGGAAAGAAGCTGTACTTACCTGGAGCTGTGATGCCCAGTACACCTAGGCTCCCAAGCTGTTTCCAAAACTCCTGTCAAGAGAATGGAGTGCAGGGTACTGTGAAGGCAGCCAGGCACACTTGGCTGGAACAATGGATCTCATGTCTCTGAAGTGGGGAAGTCTATCCTTTGGAAGTTGTTGTTGTTGTTTTTTTTTTAAATGTATTTAGTAGAGGGTCTACAGAGTCTCACTCCATAGATCAGACTCAGTGATTCTCCTGTTTTCAGCCTCCCCCAAGTGCTGGGATTACAGGCTTGTGTCACCATGCCCAGTCTCAATAGCTGTCTCAGAGCGCCCTGGGTGCAGGGCCAGTAAACCTGAAAGATTTCTATTACCAGGAGATAAGGTGAGCTCTTTCAGTCAACAGTGCAAATCAGCCCTCTCCCACAAGCAGCCTTAAGACTCACTCGAAGGTCCTTGAACTCGTTGCTTTTATCAATCTCCTGGGCCTTGGGAGCCAGGTGCTCCTGAAGGAACTTAGCCATGGTCTGACGAAGCTAAAGGGAGAGAGGTGGACAGAGGGTGCTGAAATCAATCTATTGCACCAACATCTCCACTACTGAGGACAAGGTTAGGGAAGCAGGACACAAGTGACCTCAGGTTTTTTTTTTTTTTTTTTTTAATGTATGTGGTACAGGGTCTCACTACGCAGCTCAGACTCATAGTGATCCTCCTATTTTTCAGCTTCTGCAGCACTGGGATTACAGGTGTGGGCCACAACACCCAGACTCGGTGGCCAGCTCAGCATGCCTGGGGGCGAGGCCAGAGTGGCATGTGGTGCAATGGATGATCCTGGTCTCTGTGCTTAGTTCCCTGAGCCATCTCATCAGCCCTAAACTTTTCAGTTTAGACAGCTTGATGCTTTAAAAAAAACCCTCTCCAGTATTGAACATGAATTTTAAATATGCTACTCTTCTACATAAAGCCATCCTATCCCTTTTAATCGTATTCAGAATAAAACACAGGGTCCTTATCCACGCCTACTAGGCCTGCTGGTGGCCGCCCGGGTCCTTCCAAGTAGATTCCCTCCCCTCTCCCCTAGGGGCGCTCCATTCACGCCTCCACCAGGTCTCCGAAACAGTCAGGCTCTTTACTGAACCCAAGCTTAGGCTAAAAGACCTAGAGGCACTACAGAACCACTTGACGGGTAGTATAGAACTAGAATGGAAGCCTGCGGAACTCTCTCTGCTGGCTATGGCCCAGATACTCTGCCGTTTCCAAGGTTCACGAGAACACGGCTGAAGCTGCGGGATAATCGCGCTCCCAGGCAGCCCAACCAGTCCCATGACAAGCTTCGGTCCCAAAGCCCGGTGAAGACGCGTGGGTTCTGCAGAGGAGGCCGTGCGGTAGGGGAGAGGATCGGTCTCCTTACCTGCTTCTGCTCCTCGCTTAGCCCGTTGATCGTATCGTCTACGGGCAGCAGCGAGTGGGCTCGTCGGGGGACCAGGCTGGCGAGGGGCGGTAGCAGTGGCCGCAGCCTCCAGCTGGACACACGCAGACCAAGAAGCCGAACTGCGGTCGCCATCTCTGCCTCTCCTCTGGAGCCAGAGGCGCTAAGTAAGCATCCCTCCCGCTGTACCAATCTGGCCTCGGCACCCTGTCCAATCGGCGACAGGGGTGGGTCTCCAGTGGCCAATCACCGCCGGCGGCGTGCTGAAGGCCGGGCAGTGGCTTGAACGCGGACCAATCAGCGGTGACTTCCCGTGGACTGCAAGTTTGCGACTCTGCTGCGGTGCAAGTCGGTTGTTGTCCTCCGTCGTAGGTTAGATATTTCTTTGGGTCTTTTCTCTGGATTCATAGTATAGTTATCTCCGTCCGTTGAAAATGGCAGCTCTTTCCTGTTAAAGTTTTATCCAGACTCTGGGGAAGAGGCCTGTTGGGAGCTGTGTGTGTGTGGGTCGCAGGCAGGGGGTTGTAGGTCACACGGCAGGTGGGGGCGGTTGGGATGGTCTCGGTGGCCGGAGTCCAGTCAGAGCCCGATTTTCATGTCTGTTGCCTCCAAAAACAGACCGAGAATGTTGCTGCACTGTGACCCACCTACCATTTACTTTTCCTTTTTTAAAAATTCAACCCCCTCCCCAAAGTGAGAGAAAAATCCCTCGTGGAATTGTGTCGAGATGCACCCACACGCATCTCCACACACCGCGGCCAAGGCCAGAAAGGGACCCTGCCCTCTCCATTGCAAGAAAGAAAGAAAAAGAGAGAAAGAGAGAGGAGAGGGAAGGAGGGAGGGGAGGGAGAGAGAGAGGAGAGAGAGGGGGGAGGGAGTGAGGGAGAGAGAGGGAGAGAAAGAAAAAGAAAAGAAAACTACCTCAGGTGATAGGATTCGACCTTTAGGGTTTCTTCAACTTTTGAGTTACTTGCTGATTGCCTCTTTTTTTTTTTTTTAAATTTTATTTATTTATGTATGTGTGTGTGTGTGTGTATGTATGTATGTGTGGCCAGCTCAGCCCACCGGGGGGCGGGGCTGGCTGGCATGTGGTGCTGGGGGATTGAACCCTGGTCCCTGTGCTTTGCTAAGCTTGTTCTAAGTAGGTGCTTTAGACCACTGAGCCATCTCACCAGCCCCTGATTGCCTCTTTTGCAGCATGACAACAGAGGTGCAGTGTTGCTGTGATGGACCGCTTAGCATGTTGCTGATTAATTGCACCAGAACTATTCCTAAGACTTGATGTAAACAATAGGGCCGGGGAGATGGCCCAGCGGAATAAGCGCCTGCCTGGCAAGCCTATGATCCCTAGTACCAAAAATAAATAAATGGAAGTGTGCTTTTATTTTTAACAAATTGATACATGATATGAAGGTAAAGGTAACTGCATTTTAAACACAATGAAAAATTAAAATGTAGCTTCCATACTTGCATGTAATTCCGAGGTATTTCATTTTTTTTTATCAGTGTTAAATAGCTTTTTTTTTTAATTTTATTTATTTATTTATTTGAGAGAGAGAGAG